GGGGAGGGGGCACAAACACTCCATGTGCAAATTAAGCTAAAGATACTACGAACCTCGAAATTGTTCCAATTTTGCGCAGAGAATTTAGCAGCCTCCACACTTTCTTTAGCACCCATATCTATGGAGTTGTGAAATCACTCGAATGGCTATGACAATTCGGTTTCGATGCGATGCTATGCTCTGAACGGATCGTGTCACTAATGTGCACTACGACTGCTCTCGTTGGAGAGAGTCGTGTTTGATAAGCATTAAATACCTCTATCGTCGGTGGTTCGCAAAGTTAAAAATTCACAGCGCTGAATAATAAACGAGGGGTGTATGTTGGTTGCAGGTCGGTAGCTCACAGCTCCAGCGCACGGGGCGCTGCAGGAGCGGCGCGTGTAAACACCGCCAGCTGCGGCGCGACCGGCGCCCAGCCGCGCGAGCCTGTGCTCCGCGGGACCCGCACCGCCACCCAGAGCGCCGACGGAGCCTGCTGGCTCGGCTAACGGACGAGTGCGCACAATTTAGGGTACAGCACGGTCAGCGGATCGGTGCGACACGGCGGCGACACCGGCGGCTCGTCTAAACGTCAGAGCGGACTGGGTCGCGCTCCAAGCGTGCGTGGCGGAGTGCGCACCGCCGCGCCGGCCGCCGCCGCGCACCGGCCGAGCGAGGCGAGTCGAGACGCAGCGACGCCCAAACCTAGCGCCTAGCGCGAGACACCGGCCAGCGCCCTCCGTCTCATCTCGCCAGATACGCCGGCTCCGCACCCCCGAGCCCCATGGATACCATGCGTCGCCACATACCTACATGAAATATATTTTACAAAAGGTCAAATCAATTAAGTTAAAAGCTTTGCATACAAATAATGATTACAGCATATATTGTAGAGATTAAGAAGATCATCAATGGGCATTCGGAGAGCAGCGGGGGGGTGCGGGCGGGCGGATGCGCGCGCACTCTGCGAGACAACATTCGATTTTGGTCCATGACTGTTGGATGCTTGCTTTGGGCCACCGAGGAGGGCTTTAATAGTTCATTCTAGACTACGACAGGGCGCACGACTCCTGTACCAATCCATTTACATTTCTAAAAAGCATTTTAAAATCAATTATCTACTATTTTCTAATTTCAACAAATTAGAAAATTCTATGTTAAAATCAATACAAATCTACTAGTTCACTTTTCACTTTTATAAGGAAAATAGATGCAATACAGGGTGGAATAGTTACCGACGACACTTAGCTACTTCGCTATTTGCATACGTCCACTCCACGCATTGTATCAGCTGTTTTCACGCGCAGCGCGATGAGATTTCTCTCTCGACAGCTGACGAGAACTGTTCAAATCATCTGATTTATAAATGGGCCGCACCGTATCTATTTTCATGTACCATTTATTAAAACGGTATGTAGTAGCTATAGTAATCCCCCTTTAAAAACAATTAAAATTTATTTTCATGATAGATTTCTTACTTTTTTTAACTCTCTAGGCAAATAGTAAACGATTTTTTTATTTTTTCCTAAGTCTACTTTTGAAATAAATATTACCAGCTGGTGGACCGAGCTCGCTCAGTTTTGTTTTTTATGCGGTAGTTTCAAAACAACTTACAAACACGTTTATACTGTCATACCCACCAACAGATGTCGTTGTTAGTTTTAAAAGAATTATCAAATGGCAACGATTTTAGGAAAATGAAACGTATCTAGATCGATTTATTACCCCCGAAAACCCCTATTTACGAAATTTTGTGAAAATCGTTGGAGCCGTTTCCGAGATCCCGAAAATATAAATATTTACATACAATTCTTTCTCGTATAAAGGTATAAGATAAGATAAGATGTACCAAAGTATGTATATTTTAAGAAGTAGAGCAGTCCAAAAACTGAACAACTTTTCTTTAAGCACTATGTAATAAAAATAACAATAGGGTGCCTGAAATTACTTACAGGAGCTAATAAGTATACGAAACTAAATAAATTCGGCCAAAGAGGTAGGTCAGTAATAAAAAAGATAGATACCTATGATGTTAGGTATACTCAGAAAAAACACACATTTATTTTCAATGATTCTTGAAAATATTCAATTTTATAGGCTCGTTTACCACCCGATATATTGGTTTGAGTTATTAATTTTACACCTCGTATAAGTAGGATTCTTTAAAAGCCGCAAATTATTTTGTAAAACTCGATGTCATGCATTCTACAGCCTCAGGCTACAACGGCAATGATAAATATTGATACTTCTCGTAGGAAATGGAGGATTCCATTAAAATCCGAATAAAGCTGTTCTTCTCTTGTCGAGTAGGATACTAAATGATACTTGAAAAGAAAAAAGTCGACTGACGACCCTATGAGCCCTGTATCAGAGTTTTTCAACCACCTACTGCAAGTATCAGGCCTCTGACATGGTTGCGTAACGACCGCCATCGGACAGCAACCGGGACCGACGGCACGTGCCCATCCGAAGCACGGAACCATCTTGCTCTTTGGACAATCAGGTGAATCAGCCTGCAATGTCCTAACCAGACTGGGAAGTGGTTGACCCCAACGGGAATTGAATCCACAGCCTTTGCGTGGCAGGCAGTCATACTATTATAACCACTGCGCCACATCAGCTGTCCACAACCACTGACTACTAAATATGACATGGTTTTTTCAACAACCGAGACAAACGGAAAAAGCTGCAATTTATTGTTCAAAGTTTAATTGGATAACTATATGCCTTACATACCTCATTTTTTTTTGTGAAGTCTTCAAAAGTATGTTCACAATCTCACTTTGCAAACATTATCCTGAATAAACAAAATCTTTAAAATATTGTGTAAATCGGATTTTGTAAACAAAACTTCTACCCGCCATTTACTGACAAAATCTGTCAAGTCGATCTGCGAAAAATGCCAATGTCAATCTGGTATGACCATAGATAATCAGTTATATTTATTTGAACCAGTAATGAGTTTTTCATCCCCTCTATTCAAAAAACTACGCTTTGGTCGCACATAAGTGGGATTAAAATAGGTTATTTAATCCCAAAGGATTAAAATTCATTTTAATTTGGAACACAAATATTTGCAGCCAATCAATCGAAAATTTACTACAGATGGGTTTTTTCTCTGCAACACTACCTGTTATCTGCTATTTTATTGAGTATTTTACACCTAGTATGTTGCTCATAAAAGACCTAATTCCTTGCAAAATATTTTGAAATTAAAAAGTAATGTGTCAAATTTTATTTTTCTTTTGGCGCGATAAGTGGCCAGCAATGGGCAACAACAATATAACCTCACAATTATAAGGGGAACCACAATGCACGACATACTCAATGCACAGCAGGTTAAGGCACGGCAGCGTATTGTACAGCAGATCATTGTACGACATGATGGATGTATGGTCTTGAAATACGGGCCCGGACCGATAATGTACAGGGGTGGAAATGGAATCAAAACAAATGACGTCACAGCGGATGTAGGGATGTGACAGCGATGACTTTGATCGACTTATCGATTAATTATTCGAACATGACATGCAAGGCAACCCACGGAAGGGGGGACGGGGGGACGGGGGGGGCGAAGCCCCCCCACAAGGGGGGGTTTGGGGGGTTCGCAGCCCCCCGCAGTAAAAAAAACACATTCAACACAAATCCGACACAGTAGGTTAGGTAAGGTTAGAACAGTGACCCCCTGGAGCGAACGAAGTGAGCGACCAAGCTTACTTAAGAACATATTTCATATAAAAACAATATCGATTAAGCTAGAAATGCATATAATATTATCGATCTAGTCACATCACTATTCTACCACAACACGTGATGTCTGCAACCATCATGTCGTGCAATCCACCCCGTGCACTTTCGGTACGGGGTGATGGATGGCGACATTGTTTTGATTCCATCCACCATGTCGTGCTTCATCACGTCGTACATTACTCTGACGGCCAGTATTATGGTGTACAATACTATGTTGTACAATGTAGGGACTCAATTATAATGCAATAATATGAAATGAAATGTGTTAGAATGGCTTTATAAATATTGGATGTTTATAATAACGCAATTTTTAGGATGTGTTGTAAAATAATGGATAATAGCAAGCAATATTAAAGAACTTCGTATTTTAAGTAAGTATTTATTGTTTTTCTCATAGAGGGGGATGAAAAGTAGTATGTATCACTTGGGTATAAAGTTATTTATTCTCGGGCGACTTACATTGAATCCCTCGCTTCACTCACGATTCTACTTTAAAATCCCACGCTCGGGATTTTACTCTGGAATCCCTCGTTCCGCTCATGATTCAAAATAACGCCCTCGCCCTAAATATATCACTATATTCCCTTGTTATAAAAAAACTACTATTTAATCTTTCTCTGTTTCTCTTGTGCTCTGTTGCATTTAAGTTGCATAATATAATGATGGAGTAGAATATTTAAAGCTGTCCAAATCAAGCAGTTTAAAAATTTTGTAAGTAGGTACAACAAATTAACTTTTGCGCATTTTGACATGTATTTCTTTAAAGTAAGTGCTATGTCTTAAAACCCTGAAGATCAAGGAATTTGCTAATGGTGCGTGTTGCGAATCTAACAGTTTCCGCGGGTTGTTCTTAAAATCCTTCTAGAGTAAGAAAATTTCCTGCATCAATGATGGCATCAATTTATGAAATCTCACTAATAATTATATTAAGCTAGTATTGAACCTACCTACTTGGTCTAGAAGTAAAGTGATCTAGCTCTTGATCAACAGGCATTCAAAGCAAAGATACCAATTGCAGAATTTTCCACTTAATCGTATTCATAACTATCAGTTTCTACTTCGTTATCGCAGTTTTCCTTAATCATCTACGCGGGGTATTTGATAATAGCTTACAGATAATCTTGTTTACAGCGAAGAGCATCATGAATTTTCCAGATAAATATTTCCACCGAGGCACGCGTAAACGGTAGGTAAGCTCTTGCCACGCGTCCACAAGTAAGGCAATCAGATTCCACACAGCCAGAAAAATTTTGGGAAACTTACAACAATTTCATTGCAGGCAGGATTTGATCCTGCAACTTTGGCATCAGTACTGCCGACGCCTCAATCGACTGGGCTACCGCAGCTCAATCGTGGCACATGTATATTCAGAGTTTTGTTATAGTTTCTGAGTTATACAAATTTTAACAACTTTTGCCCTGTGGTGCTGACTTAGAATAGCATCACCCCATATCTTTCCGTGGGTGTCGTAAGAAGGGATTAGAGGGTATGACTGACTATGGGAGGCCTTAATTAATGTAATAAAAAATGAATCATAGCTGTACATGCATAATTCGGGAAGAAAACAGGGGAATACGTTTGTATGAAGAGACGGAAAACAGACATCGCTGCGCTTGTAGAAAAGCTACCGCTATTCGGAGCCTCCATTATGTATTTGAAATAAGGTAGCTTTTTCGGAAGCCAAAAACGAAATTATGTCAACGGAAAACCTATACACCTGAATTCCATAGACTTATATATGCCTGAATTCAGAAAACTGACATTTTGAAATCGTCATGTCATATTCCTGGGACAAAGAAAATTCCAATTTCTAAACACGGAAGTAGGAATAGTATCTTTAGTCCTAGCGGTAGTTCAAAACATGCTGCACCTGAGAGAAGAGTTCTGAAATTTGGTACACTTAATCTTTAGGGCAAATGAATCGATTTGACCCGTAGTACACAATTTTAAAAAAATCCTATGAGGAGTAATGACGTCATCTTTTTTTTGTATGGGAAAAAAAATTTTTTTGTTCCAAAACCTATCGTGTGTAGTATCAAATAAAAGGCCTTGCTAAGCCGATTCTAAAAATATATCACATTATTATATTTAAGTCCCTTGTATAAAATTAAATAGGAAATAATTCTCGAAACATGCCACGTTTGGGCTTCTCCAGGTATGATACGGTTGAATCATTACTTATGAAATATACGTAATATAATGTGTAAGATCCTCATCTCTAACCTCAAGAAAGGTACTACGGATTTTTTGTCTTAAAGTATTTTTTTTTAATTTTAAAGTTACAGAAATTTATAAAAACACACTTAGTTGAAATTTGGCATCGAAAGTTCAATTTTGGACACCGAGAATGATAAAAATATAGCCAGTTGAGATTACAATCATATTATTATGTACATAACATCATATTCGTTTTGCAAAAAGAATGTTATGTGCTTCGGAGGGCACGGTTAACCCTCGTCCCCATAGCAGTCGCTCTCTATGAATAATAAGACGGCGGCGGTCCATCAGGGTCGTCAGTTAGGGGCTGAATAGTAACCATGGTTCATCGGGTCGTTCGTAGACTCGGTGTTTCACTTTTCAGAACAAGATTTATTAATAATAGGATGATAAATACAAATGCCAGAGAAGTTTTCGATTGATGGTTAAGGTGATCATTTCTCTATACACACATTATATACACACCGGCAAAATTAACGGAATCTATACCTATTAATAAAAATGTAGAGGGTCGAAAGAATGTACATAAAAGATATTGGAAAATGAATTGTCAGCGAATTCTTGAAATTGATAACAAAACAAGTTTCAAAAGATTTTACATATTTTTTCCGTTTAGATGTTTGTATGTGACAGCATCCTGAAAAACTACTGAACGGATTTTGATAAAATTTGGTACTAAGATTGCTATCGTATTGAAGAAGGTAAAGGCTACTTTTTTTCTCCACTAGAAGCACAACCACGAGCCCAGCTAAACAATGGGAAATACATTTATGGCTCCAAAGCAAGAATTGTTTAGCATCATGGAATGCTCCTGCTGGCAAACATAGATCGAAGGTTTGGAGAACCTTATGTGGACCACCAGGTGCACCTCCAAGAGCCCAGCTAAACTACAGGAGACATATTATATAGTCCCAAAGCAAAAATTGTTTAGCGCGATGGGACGTGTCTGCTGGAAAATATAAATCGAAGGTTTGGAGAACTACAGAAGATACATATACGTCCCCGAAGAAAAATAATTCAGCTTGATTGGGCCCTCCTGCTAGCAATTAGAAATCAAAGGTTTTGAAAACCTGATGTAGACCATCAGGAGTACCAAAAATAGCCCAGCTTAAATAGGTACATGAGATATACATATGGCCTCAAGAAAAAGAATATTTAGCATAGCGGGACATTTCTGCTGGCAAATAGCTAATGAAGGTGATGGATACCCTGGGAATAAATGTATGGATGCTGGTGTGGGAATAATGTGTGTATAGACAAATGAAAATTATAAAGATGAACGAAAACTCTTCTCGCATCTGTATTTATCATCTTATAATTAATAAATCTTGTTCTGTCAAGTGGGACACTGAGTCTACGAACGACCCGATGAACCATGGTTACTATTCGGCCCCTATCTATCGACCCTGACCGACCGCCGCCGTCTAATTATTCATAGAGAGCGACTGCGATGGGGCCGAGGTTAACCGTGCCCTCCGAAGCACATAACATGTTATTTTTGCAAAACGAATATGATGTACATATAATTAAAATCTCATCTGGCTTTATTTTTATCACTCTCGGTAACCAAAATTGAACTTTCGATGCCAAATTTCAACTTAGTATGTATTCATAAATTTCAGTAACTTTAAAATTCAAAAATAAATACTTACAGACGAAAAATCCGTAGTACCTTTCTTGAGGTTAGAGATGAGGATCTTAAACATTATATTACGTATATTTCATAAGTAATGATTCAACCGTGTCATACCTGGAGAAGCCCAAACGTGGTATGTTTCGAGAATTATTTCCTATTTAATTTTATACAAGTGACTTAAATATAATAATGTCATATATTTTTAGAATCGGCTTAGCAAGGCCTTTCATTTGATACCACACACAATAGGTTTTGGAACAAAAAAAATTTTTTTCCTATACAAAAAAAAGATGACGTCATTACTCCTCATAGGATTTTTTTAAAATTGTGTACTACGGGTCAAATCGATTCATTGACTCTAAAGATTAAGTGTACCAAATTTCAGAACTCTTCTCTCAGGTGCAGCATGTTCCATACATTCGGCCAGCGAGCCGCTAAGGCTACTTCTTTCATCTGAGTTTCAAAATACTTTCTATTTCAAGTACCAGTATATCTTGTTCAAAGTCATTCGTCGACTCGGTGTCCCACTCGAAAAGGAGAAAGTCGTAAGGTGTCAAATCAATACATATTCAATACATAGTATAAAGTAAAGTCCCTCGCCGTGTCTGTATGTATGTTTCCTTATATCTTTAAAACCCCTCAACGGATTTTGATGCGGTTCTTTTTCAAACATTAAGTAAGTTAAGGGGCAGGTTTTAAAATATTCTTTACATCAAATTTTAACCCCGGTAGGGGTAAAAAAGGGGTTAAAAGTTTATATGGAAAATCATTATTTTTAAATGCGATCTGTTTCAAAATTTGTGATAAATTCAAAAAGCTAAAATAATTAAATACGTGTTTCAGGGATTTTCGATTTTTAACCCCTAAAGGGGTAAAAAAGGGGTTAAAAGTTAGTATGGAAAATCTTTATTTTAAAATGCGATCTGTTTCAAAAAGTGCGATTAGATCAAAAAGCTAAAAAAAAAGAAATACGTGTTTCAGGGATTTTCGATTTTTAACCTCTAAAGGGCTAAAAAAGGGGTTAATAGTTTGTATAGAAATTCATTATTTTTAAAAGCAATCTGTTCCAAAATTGGCGATTAGATCAAACAGCTAAAAAAAAGAAATACGTGTTTCAAAAATTTTCGATTTTTGACCTCCAAAAGGGGAAAAAAAGGGGTTAAAAGTTTGTATAGAAAATCATGATTTTTAAATACGATCTGTTTCAAAACTTACAATTAGATCAAACAGCTAAAAAATTTAGTACGTGTTTCAGGGATTTTCGATTTTTTACATCTAAAACCGCTGACGGGCAGCTATAACTCTATCCGCGCGATGAAGATAATACCAGAAAATGCAAAATGATTGCCATTGGTTAGCGATAACGAGGCAAGGGTCCGTTTACATGGCGGTGCAATTTCAGTCTACTTCTGTGGCTTGCACGGGGCGGACGAGTTCTTTTGTTCTTATATCGTTTTTTTTATTTTTCCTACGACCTGGCGCGTGTTTTGGAGTATTTCCTGTGAAATTGTGACTTGTTTTTTTAGGTGCGAGTAGGTATTCTTGTTAATAAGTAATTTGGTCAACGAAAATGAAAAAAAAAATGTTGCCTATGTTTTATAATAGTCCCAAAAACCATATTGACATAATATCAATCAAAATATCATTAACAACTTTTACCGTATGTGAACCACAACACTACCAAACAAGTTCGTAACAATTCTCATTCTTAATATTTTAAAACATACAAAGATATATTTACCTAAAATTATTTTTACTTATTAAATATTGGAATAGATCAAAGAACACAAAATTTAATAGTAAAAAATAATTATGAGTCTTCTTTAACCAAACAGCCATGTAAACGTATCTTTACGTTTTTACACAATTGTTGACGCCCACTTACCTGGAAGGGCAATCATTTGTCCCTTTCACTTGCATATGTCGCAGTACGATGGCAGAATCAGGTTTTTGGCCAAAAACCTAGGTTTTTGGCCAAAAGCCGGCATATGGCAAAATCGTAGACTTCGTTCGGCCATCGTCCTAAGCTGATCCAGGTTTTTGGCCAAAAACCTAGGATTTTGGCTAAAAAACTAGGATTTTGGCCGAAATCCTAGATTTGTTTAGTATTATGACCTTTTTTGCATTTCGGGGGAACTTCTTCTTCTTCGAGTGGTACACCAAGTCGCCCAACGACCCGATGAACCCTGGTGCTAGTTTTTAAACCGCCAACTGCAAGGAGCAGGCCTCTGACAAGGTTGTGTAATGACTGCCGTCTAAGTGATCATAAAGAGCAATCGGGACCGACGGCTTAACGTGCCCGTGCAGTTCGGGCATAGGCCTCGAAAGAGCAGGAGGTAGCATTGGACGTTCTGGAGGGTGGGAGGTAGCGTCAGACGCTCTGGAGGGCGTGGGTAGCGTCGGACACTCTGGAGGATGTAAGATGACGGGCGTTGGATTTTCTGGGGGTCCGACGCTACCTTTGTGTCTCCAGGGCCTCCAACGCTACCACCA